ATAGCTTTCATGTAAACCATGAGTAAAAGGATAATGCTTTTTAAATACTGTTTCTTTGAACCAGTTCAATTTTGTGTATTTAATTAAGCCTCAATAGACGTCACACTTATATATATATATATATATATATTGTAACAGTGACTCCAAGATCTTTGAACGATTTGTGATCTTTCAGTAGGGTTGAACCGAAGGCATAGTTTGTTGCAGATTTATCTCGCGAGTAAGTAATTCTTATAGCTTCGCATTTATCAGCGTTGAATCTTAGCTGCCACGTGTTAGCCCAATTAAAGTTTTTAAGGTCCGTTTGCAAGACAGGTATGTCAATGGTCTGATCTTGAATGGCTTTGTAGATTTTGGTGCCATCAGCATAGAGGTTCGTCGTTGAAGAGATATTGCCGGTTATATTTATATCGTATGTACAGAAGAAACAAGATTGGGGCCGAGAATTGTTCCTTGTGGCGTTCTTCATGTTACCGGTGACCACCCAGAATGCGTTCCTCAGACTAGTACCACTCTTTGTTTCCGACCCATAAGGAAGTGCCTGAACCAATTAAGGAGGCAACCATTAATGCCATTAAAGTACAGCTTTAATAGGAGCCTTTCATGAAGGACACTGTCAAAGCCTTGGCTAGGTCGAGAAATATCTGCAGGGTTGGCGGCAGTTTCTAGAAAGGTCCAATCGTGTATTTTGCTCAGCAGTTGAGAAGCAGTAGATCGGCCTACTAGATATGCAAATTGGTTATCTTTGAATAAGTTGATATCGTGCCAGAAGCGTAGAATTGTGTTACAGACGATCCCCCCCATATAACAAATGATGCTTGTCAGAGAAATTAATTGGACAATAATTTTCTTTGCGATGCTTTGAGCCTCTCTTGGAAATTGGAGATATGTTGGCTTACGGTGGCCCATAACTGTCACGGCATATCAAAATGACCAACTGTCATGTCACTACACAATATTTCACGGCAAAATATCCAATCTTTGCGGCACTACGCAATTTTTCACGGCAAAATAACATATTTCCGCGGCACTACACAATTTCACTCACAGAAAATTACAACTAGACACTATTGCAGTGTTTACTCGGGCTTCGTTGAGGAAGAACGGCGCGAAAACGACTGAGTATGTCATTTGTACGCATAGATACAATTACAAGAGATGCTGCAAAAGCACTTGAGTATTTCTTGCATTCTCTACTTTCACATCCCCATAATGCCTTGCGTCTTTGGGGAGTAATCAATCAAAAAGCTGTCCCAAATTCAAAGGTTTCTTAATTGAATTTTATACTTCACCTGCTTTTATCTGTGCAATACTGATTATTATAAAATAACTGTTATGAATGTCGTGTTCTGATTGGTTTGGAGCGCGTGCTTTATGAGAGCACATTGCACGCGCGCGCACTTTCCGTTGCGTCATTACTATCTATCATTGTAATTTGTATTTTATAAAAGAAATAAAAAACGTACTTGCTGTGCTGTGTGCAGTCATAAAGCACTTGGGGGTTGGCAGAACACTCGAGAAGTGTCGAGAAGCACTCCGCTACGCGTCGTGCTTCCCCTAACACATCTCTCGTGTTCTGCCAACCCCCGCGTGCTTTTTGACAGCACACAGCACGCGCGCGCGTTTTCTAATTCTTCATCAGTTCATTCCAAGTTATTTCTGCGTGTGCAGATCATCAAGAGTTTTGGTCTTACAGAAAATGTATTGACTTAAGAAAAAATGTTTAAAATTTACCTTAAACTTCTATCAAGCTTCTATCTTTTTCTGTTTTTTACTTCATTCTATTTTTGGTTACCAAACAAGGTATTGTCAACATTGTCTGAGCAGCTGCTTCAGCAAAATAAGTGGGTTTTTACCTTTTGGTTATCCCCCAAAGACGCAAAATATTATTGGGCTGTGCAAGTAGAGAATAACAAAGTAACGCCGCGCAGTGATGGCGTTACGTGATCTTGTTATAGTTAATATTCAAACATGCGTGACTTCTGCTTGCTGTTTTTTTTCTTTAGATAAATTTCTAAAGAATACAGTACCTTTATCAGAGCGAATTCGTATATCGCACTTTTACATGCTAATGAATTTTKCTAATATTCAAATGAGCTGTTAACGAACCAAATATATCCTTGCAAATACTCCCACAAAACGTAACCATTCCAAACCCCAAATATCATATAAATGYATATGCTAACAAAATAAGTGTTTTAATTATCGATT